GTAGGTATGTATGTAGGTATGTATGTAGGTATGTATGTAGGTATGTAGGTAGGTAGGTAGGTAGGTAGGTAGGTAGGTAGGTAGGTAGGTAGGTTTTGTATGACAACCCAGTGGCAAGGATGCCTGCAGTGCCAGCACAACGTTATGACGTCACGCGCGCCTACCTGGTCTGATCACGACGGAAGAGGAAAAAGTGAAAATGTCTGCAGTGTGGAAGTTTTTTAGTGTCGGAAACTGATAGCAGAACTGCTATTTGCAATGATTGTTCAGCATCAATGATGTGAGGAGGAGTGAAAACGAAGTCCGTCAACACTTGGAACCTAATTAACTATATCAAGAACCACCGTTTCGACCATTACGATGAGTTCATGGTGGCCAGAAAGGAAAGCAGTCAACCGTGGAGAAACAAAACTGCACCAGCAGTCCATCCATCCAAAGACCATGCAGAATAATGTCATATTTTAATTCCACAGCAGAGAAAGCTATGTAGTCTCTGTAAGTAGGTCTAGGGAAAAAATATCGGTATTTGTATCGGTTATTGGCCAAATAAGTTTTAACATATTGGCATATCGGATATCGGCCAAAAATCTGATATCAGCCAAAAATCCAATATCGTGCATCCCTAATTCATAAAACAGATGTACTGTAATGGCTTGTAGCTGAAATGTTCTGCACAGCTTTTCCTGAGGATTCAACAGCACATAAACCTCAATGCAGTCACCTGTTTCCTCTCAGATGTGCCATTACCTGTTTGTGAGGGTAAACATTGATGTGGCACTTGATACACTCTTGTCCCATGTTGGCCCAGGAGTTCCCGCTCATCCACTTCCTCTTGCATTTAGGGCATTTATATTCACCGAAGCACCTCTTTTTTCCCTGATACGGAGTCAGGCCTTCTCCTTTTGGTCGAGCCTGAAAAGAGATTATTTGTCATAGATTAATGTGGATTTTTATTTATTTCCCATAAAGTCTGACAACTCATGATTTAAATGAATCAGAATCAGAATAAGATTTATCATTGTACTGAAATACAGTGAGATTATGTTCATACAGTCGTCCAAAAGATGGGCGGAGTGCATGTTGCTGCTGCTCCTTGAGAGCACGGCCCCTTTTCCTTTTTCAGAATAGTTTTTAGATAGAAAAGGCCATGAGGATAGGATGGTGGTATTACAAAAAAAAATCTCTTCACACCTTGTCCTTATCAGGACACGATTTAAGACATCGAAAAACTCTTACCAGTATGTAGAGTTACATGCTGGTAGAGTTTTGTATACCTGGATGCTGGTAGAGCATCCTGGTATACAATCCAACACTTTTCAGTCAGATGACCTGACTGAAAAATGTTGGATTGTATACCTGGATTATTGAGCATGGACTTTGTTGTTTTCAACCAGTTTGACAAGACTGTCAACAAGGAAGAGGGCCGGCAATGGGGGAGGGGGCGTACCAAAGAGACCATCTTATCACAAGCAGAACTGGTTTGTTCCACTTTGGAGTAAGCTGTTGGAGGAAGAATCAGTTTTGTTGTGCATTTCCTTGACTGATGAAGCCTTCCGGACCGAAGGCGAAACGTTTCAGCACAAAATAAAAGAAACTGTCCAGATGACCTGACTGAAAAATGTTGGATTGTATACCTGGATTATTGCGCATGGACTTTGTTGTTCTTCCAGCATGCACATTTATAACACATTACATATGCATTTGATGGCAAGACGGTGAGATTTGTCCATGAAACACTTCCAGTTTGCAATAGACAGCTTTTCCTTAGGTTACACATACCACAGAAGAAATTTGATGTCGGCCTGCTTCAACCGGGGGAGTCAGATTCAGATAAGCTACAATTGTTGTTTTTTTCAGGCGGACTGTTTTTCTTGTCAGCCTTGAGTCCTGCTGGTACTTTCAAACCCAAAATGGCCAGATTTGTGGGCATTCCACTGGTCCGTGCTTATGAGCCCCCTCTAAGGTCATCCTCAACATGCTGGCGAGTCCCAGAAGCCGCAGGTAGTCTGCAATTCTCACAATTCGCTTCCATCTAATGGTTTAGCTCGTAAATTAGCTGATCTTGAGTATTCGGAAGCACGAACCAAACCTTCACACAGACTCTGCAGTTTTGCTGTGACCGAAACTGCTGCCACAGTCTTCTTTAATAGCCGATAACATGAATCCACCGATGCCAAAAAGCAGAAACCCTGCTATCATGGTTCCAATTATATAAACATCTTCAGCGTGCTCCTGAGACAATAGGGAAAGACACATGGGCTTCCAAACTCCACACGGATCCATGACGTGTCCTACCGCGCGTCTCTCAGCAGGGCATGAGGGCTCTCCAGGACCCTGTCGCTTTGTTGAAAATAAATTATCGATTGCATTGAAACTCCAGCTGACCAGATCCATGACAGTAGTTATAGTTTCGGAACATGTGTAAAATAGGAGCTCTGATACACAGACAGAGCAAAAAAGGCAGGCAGGAGGAGGAAAAAGTGTCCGCCTTGTACAAGAGTGAGAAAAAGGCAAAAAGGTCAATGAATTCCTTGAAGAGATGCGTCCATCACCTTTTATGGCAGGGTTTTGAATTGAGATAATTGTTTGCTAAAATATCCTTGCATTATCTACCGGTACTTAGAAAAAAAGCAGCCACACACGAGGACAGGAGAAGATTTTTAACCCAGTTTACTTTCAAGGGCAAACGGTTACGAAACAGGCTTATACAGATGTTCAAAGTGACATGCTCAAAACCCCGTCATGATATTCTGCAACGGGCAGTGTACGGGAAGTGTTTTTTATACACGCTTATCAGCACGATGACCTCGGCCTCTAAGACTCGGAGGCGTCAGGTGCCTGCAGGCTCCTCTCTGAGAAGAAAACAAACTTTGAACTCACACACATAGTTCAACATTAATTTTAACATTAGCAGTGATAAACATCCATAAACCTTTGGCAAAACCCCCCTGACAGTGATCTTATGATGAGAAAAGACAGAAGTTTTATCAGTTTTGTCACCCTACTAATAACATGATGCACAATCTCATGTTATCACTTACATTTACATCATGAATGACAGTCGGCAACCACTACGTCAGATTTTAGCACGGTATCTGTACACTTCTCTAAAGCATAGATATATTTGTTTGTAGGCTAAGGTAGATAAGCTGTGGCGGCCATCTTGTAATAGATTTAATTCAAAAGTTTATCAGTACGTAGCCAATAATGACGTTCTGAGAGTATTATTAAAACCCATCCAGTGGTTTGAAATATTTTGCTAACAAACATGGTTGACTCCCACAGTTAATGCCAAGTATGATATAATGTTAAGGTTTTAATCAGTGGTAGACAAAGTACTCAATTCTCGTACTTCAGTAAAAGTGTTGATGCTTGTGGTCAAATCTTACTCAACTACAAGTAAAAGTTGCTCAGTCACAAGTTTACTCAAGTTAAAGTACTGAAGTACTTACTTTTGAAAATACTCAAGTATTCAAAAGTACATGCATTTTAAAAATAATACTCAAGTATTTATGAGTACAAATTATAGTTTCTAATACCAGTATATTGCTGTATTGTTTTGAGTGATTTAGAACCTTGTAACTCTCTGAACCCACCTGATGATGTATTGACATGTAGAACCACTCTAACACCACGTGCCTTAATAAAACCTGTAAACTACAAATAATATCTTCCCTGCATTTTACGTTTGTGGGAAATCATGTAAATCCTAACAGATGATGCACATTTAGTCTTTTCCTCAGCTTCAGTATTCATACACCGCATTGTCTGTCTGTAAAAGTGCATATGTTACAGCAACAACTTAACATGGGCAAGGACACGGTAACACTGATAACTGAAAGTGCTGCCATACTTAACAGAGAAGCTTAAAAAACTATGAATGTAAAAAACAGATGAATCAGCATAATACCTGAATCAACAACTGCATTTAAGGAAAGAAAAACAGCAACGGTGGATTACAAAGCCGAGCCAAAAGGAACAAGTAACAAGAAGCTTCCTAGAAATGTAGTGGAGTGAAAGTCACAAGTCCCCCCCCCACCAGTACTAAAAAAATTTACTTAAGTACAGTACTCAAGTAAATGTACTTTGTTACTGTCTAGTTTTAATAAAGGTGTTGCACAATATGTTGTGCTCAAACTGTGTGCCCGTACAATGCTCAACTGCTACTAAACCAAATTTTAGCTCAATATCTGTAAAACTGACAGAATCGAAGGCGTTTTTTTGTGTTTTCCAAGGCCGGTTGGCTGTGGTGGCCATTTTGAATTTGATTACACTGTAGAAGTTTGATTAAAACCCATCCAGGGGTTCATCAGGTATTTTAACGGACGTGAGCAAAAACATAATCCCAAAGACTGCGACTTGAAACATGAGGAAAAAAAATACATTTAAAGAACCCAATTTTTGTATTGCTGAGCTTGTGTGAAACCCTCAACAACTTCACAAACATTTTGGCTTCCGCCTATCCTACGAGGACTGAGCGACCTGTTTGGTTTCTTTGGACAGAAGCCAATTTAAAGCTGTGATTGCGAGAACATGCGATAGCGACTTTGTTGATGGTCAAGAGTTAAATTTTGCTTCCAGAATAAAACATATTTATAGTTTCTCTGTGCAAGCAGCTTTCACGTCTGAATAAACCCTTATGGTGCTGAGTGAGCCTTGGATTATCAACATAATCTTCCTTAGATCTAAATCATCTGTGAATTTGTATAAAAAGTGAGTTTAATCCAAATAAGATGGAATATACTCTTGTAATTTATTTGTTGTTGGTGGTGGGGGGGATGAGGAGTTTCAGATTTCTCATTAGAAATGAACTGCCTGCCTCCAGCTGTGGTCCAGGGGGACTGTGAAGGGGCCCTCAGCCCACAGGGCGACCAATAGGAGGGGCCCTCTCTGCCGTAGGACAAATACTTCATCTCACAGTCATCCCTCCAGCTGGCCTCTGCTCACCAATCGGAACATAAAGGAAATAAAACCCAGATGAACTCTGCACTTTTCTAACATGACAAAATCCTATACTCATTCCAAAATATGAGGAAGAAAAAAAAAAAAAAAAAAAAAGCTCTTGACGAGAATAGTTTAAATTACAAACATCTTGGTTCAAAATGAGGACTGCACCACAGTGTTTTGTTTCACAGCTCAAGCTCCAAACGTCTCTCAGATCGTTTTAGTCGTTGCCACGGCAACATCTGCTTAACAAAACATTTCTGGGAGTCCAAGAGCCGAGCCACAATGAAGCGTTTATCGGCCTTGCGTTTGCATCGCTCAGCCACCATGAGGCACTTGAGGAGGCCACATCAGACGGGCGATTTCTCCGGCGCCTGCAGGGGAGAGCGGACAGATCATCATCTTCCTGAGGGAGGAAACAGCTTTCACTCTTCAGAACAAACAAAACAAACTGTACCTAAATTCTGGAGCCCACAGGACATCAAGGGGCATCGCACACTCCCGACTTTCCACCGGTCCCATCAAAGATAACACGCTGACAGCACGCAAATGAAACTCACACTTCTGACCTGACTGATAAAGGATGCTCCAACAGAATGCAGGGAAGAGCGAGTGCAGTCTGTTTATCAAGCAACATGGGTTTTTACTGCTTTACAACGTTTATATATCTCCATTATGAGCTGTTTTCTGTTTAATTAATAACTCAGGATGATAAAGAATACTTTCCAACACAAATTAAAGTGGTCATAATGGAGGACTTTTAATTTTCTTAAGTTTAGCTTAAAAGCACCAAGTAAGGGCTTTCCTTCTGATTTAGGAACTCTGAGGCCATGCATGAACATAAATAAGGTACCACTTTACAATAAGGCTCCCCTTATAGATGGCTAGATACATGATTCATTTCTCTATAAACACTTTATAAATCATTAATAACTGCATATTATGAATTAATTAAGGGTGACAGAGAG